GCTGCCCCCCCCCCCCCCCCCCCCCCCTTCTTTTTTTTTTGGTGTGGGATTCTGATAATATACGTTGCTTGTAAGTTCCTGTTTTCTTGAATTCTATCACCGAACTGCTTCTAAGAAGTTCCTCTTTAAGGAAATACTTCAATATATGAGGTTATAAGCCATTTATCACCACTCACAAACTTTCACTGATAAACCTGGCTTTAGTAACATGTAGAATTAGTTACTAGATATGAAGAAACAATTAATGGAGTGGAGGGTAGAAGAGAGATTAAAAGAGGAAGAAGAGTTTATTTAACTAAATTACAGGACTAATATCGCGGTTGAGTTCAAAATCACCTTCGATCAATTATGATATGCATCAATTACAGGTGTGAAGTCCATTTTGTGTAGCAGTATAATAATAAACTAAATTTCCCTTATAATTCCTAGTCTCCTAGGGCCATATGACCACTCCTAGTATTAGAATTATGGCACCATAGCAGTACACATAAACTTCAATAAACTAAATCTTAAGTAGTTGCAGTGATGAATTCTGAGCTTTAGAGTTTACATAAACTTCAATAAACTAAATCTTAAGTAGTTGCAGTGATGAATTCTGAGCTTTAGAGTTTATGAACATGAAGAAAATGAGAATCTAGACTAGTAAGTAGTTGCAGTGATGAATTCTGAGCTTTAGAGTTTATGAACATGAAGAAAATGAGAATCTAGACTAGAAGTTTTTCATGTATATTCAATAAGGTTTTTGAGGTTTCATTTACGTTCTAACATTTAGGTTCTAACTTATACTTCGCAGTTGACAGCAGACTCCAATATGTTGATTATGGCTTGCATTTAAACAATTAGAATCGAGTTACAATTATGGTTTGACTCAGATTGAAAGTTCACTGGACTAGAATATAAGTTACGATTGGAGTTGGATTAATTTGAATTAAAAAGGATTATCATTATAATAATTCCAAACAAAGACAATTATGAGAAGGAATCTTTTTACCAAAAATCAAACCAGGATGAAAATATCTTCAAATATCCCTGGAGAGGTTCTCTCTAAAAAGAAGAAGAAAGTTCAGAGAAGAATTACAACAGAAAAATTACTCTTGTTGGGGACCTCCAATATAAAAGAAATATTATAATCCTCTTCTTCAAGGAATAAAAACTCCTCCCCTCATCACGTGGACACAGGCAAATTGGCATCAAGGGATTTCAATACCCTGACCTCTTGTTGCTTGAACGATAGTTTACTTTCTTTATTTGTCGTCAAGGGGTTTCAAGACTCTCACTGAATCCCAACATTGTCACCTTGTTAGCAAGAAGGCCTTGGGAGTTGATTGACACATGATTTGTACTCTCCTTCTGTTTTCTAGACCTCCATGTACAAGATGATCTTCACTTAAGACTTGTTAAGGAAAATACCTTTGAGCTTTTCAGTATAAATAGTTTTTTACTGGTGTCTGGTGAATACAAAATTACATTTATATTACTTTTGAATGAAGGAGTATGGAAGTGTCGGCACTGCACTTGGACCTACCATTTGAGTGGTCCTGGCATATATCTTATTCAGAAACACAAACATGAAGGCAATTGCCAAGTGACAATGGATGTCGAAACACTAACTCAGCTTGGAACATTTATTGATTCACCAATTAAAGGTCAGTTCTCCAGTTTCAAAAGGATAGTGCTTGTCAATTGTTAGTGGCCATCTGAGACTGATTGTATAAATATTAATGTATGTACGCACATGTGAACAAAATCCTTGCATCCAAATTAGCTGAATTTTGTAGTTTTCTAGTCTAATTCATTAAAATTAGTCTTTCAGTCTCATTTGTTCATCTGGTATCTTCTTTTGTCTCTTAACTTGTTTATCTTGTATGAAAATGACTGTTTTGAAAGCTCGCCTTTCGTTATTGAACTATACACAGACTACAAATTGGTAATTTTGCATTGTATATTTCACAGTATACACATAAATTTATCAGAAACCTTATTTGCAGGTGCTGCTAATGTTACTGCTGGGTTAAAATTACTAGCAGATGAATTTGTTGCTGAGAAGAACCTCGGAGATGGAATAGCTGGAGATGAAGAGTGCAACGGTGACAATAATGTCCCAATCGAAGAACAAAAAGTCAATTTAAATGGATCGAGTTCTCACCTTAGTTCTGAGAAAAAGAGTGAAAATGTAATCTCAAGAAATGAAAATGAAATCCAAGAATTAGAACAGCATAAGCCAGGAGAACCAAGTGACCCCATAGTTCCAGAATTTGATGTCGAGAAAGTTTTAGAGGAGCAGGAGACTCATGATTTGTACTGCCCTAATTGCCACTCATGTATTACCAAAAGGGTAATTTTACGGAAAAGAAAAAGGATACCCAGAGAAACTCAAAGTGATTTGCCACCTCAGAAAGTCCCACATGTTCCTGAACCTAGTCCTGCTCTAACTGAAACCGTGGATCTTCATGAGGATAGGACAGTATTCAGATGTTTATCTTGCTTCAGCTTTTTCATTCCAACAGGTATATATATGTCCCCTTGATTTTGTTATGTTAGTGCTTCAAACAGAAGGGTATACTTCACACTTAATAGATAGACTCTTTTCATATGTGACCAGAAGCTTATTTTACCTTTGACTTGACTGCCAATTCTCGTAATGAATGGGCTTATATGGAAACTATTGTGCAATCTGTTTCCTACTTGTCTATGTCGACATTGATAGTAGCAAAGACCTGTTGAGATATATCAGCTGGCTTAGGTTTCTAACAAAGTTTCTATGAGCCTGAGCACTGTAAAGCGTAAACTTGTGTTCTTTGATTTTTCACTAGGGTGCAGAACTTCATGATATGGTGTTATTTTCTTTATTATTAGTTTGTTTTTTCCTCAGTTTATATGGCTATATATTTTGTGGTATACAGAGACTGGATTTAATATTTTCCGGTGTTTTGGGAAAGAAGCGGAAAGTAACGACCTTCAAAGTCGAGAAAAGAAACCTGCAAAGAGGGGTAACTGGATTTCTTCTCTTTTTGGATCTGGTTCAAGCAACAATGAAGGTACCGAAGCCAGTAAGTTTCTCATACTTCTTTTTGAATTTTGAAATTGTAAAGTCAAGAACTGTCGGAAGATGCATCTCCGTAAAGAATGTGCCCGTCTCTATTCAAAATTTTGGAGGTTTCTATCTGCTGTGGTTTCCTTATTTTGGACTGTACACTTACTGTTTACCTTATTGATTTTAGTGTACTTTAAAAGTGCTATTATTCTTTTGTAGATAGAGGAGTAATCTTTTTCTTCATATCTTACTGTTACAACCTACAACAACATCAACAATGTTGCCTTTACCCTATATTCTGGGGATCAGCTCCTTGTTTAGTCCTATTGCTCCAAATAAGAAGTGGATATTTTGGCATTTCCATAAAATCTTCATATCATCTCAAATGACTATCATATTGTTGTTATTTGAATTAGTCTCTGTATTCGTAGAAATTAACTATTATGCTTTAGTGTAATGTTGTGTACCCATCTCAGCTTTCCCTCATCAGCATTTCAATTTAAACGTGCTCTTTTTTAAAGGAATTTGTCATGTATTAAGTTACTAGTTACAGAGCATATTATTTACATGTGTTTTACAATGATAGGATTAATCAATTATTTTCCAATCATATCTAAAAGTTAGTTTTGATTATTTGATACTTAAATTAACTGTGAACATTGACTGTGAAGGAGATGCAGGTTTTATACTTCGGAAAGCAGTCAGCTTTCACCAGTTATTATTACCTTTGATATCACTTGGAAATCATCAATCTCCAGGCAACCAATCCGCAAATATAAGGGGAAAGTGAAAAGGAATTTTAAAAAAAAAACAAGTCATCTTTCCCTTTTGTCATTTAAGTTCCAGGACAGTGTTATTAGTCTAACATCCTGAGTAATTTGTGTGAAACTTGCTTGGATCTAAGCAGTTCCCCATAGTAAACACTTTCATTTACCAAGACTGGTGAAAATGCTGCCTGGGAGTATAAATCCTTTTAATCGTATACGCATCAACACCCAGGATTTAAAAAAAAAAAAATTCTGTTATGTTGAATCCCTTTGGGAGAAAGAGACAAATAACCTTAAAAGACTAATTATGTTATGTACGAAATCATAGATGTTATAATTAGTAGACAGCTTTATTGTTGCCCACACCCTTCCAGTTCTGCTGTTACTCTTGTCTTTCTCACTTAAATTTGTAACACATGTAGCTTTATCACTGTCCAAGATTTGATATGCATTACAAACGATATCATTGTACATACAAAGCACAAAACGTTATCTTTATGATTACTGTAATTTATTGATCCAACAATTTTAGTTACTAACATTTTTTTATAATACCGGGAACTCCATTGCTTGCAGAAATTAAAACAGATTCTAGAGATTCATCTGAATCCATGCCAGGAGCTGCAAATCTTGGAGAAAAAGGAACCACTATAGGTATGAATAATTCAGTGGTTTCCAAAGCATTTGTAACAAGTGGTATTCATGCTTTTCATTTATGCTTCTAGCTTTTCCTTTGCAAAATGTCAAATGAGTTTTTCTGATCATCAGTACATCAGAATACTTGTACATCATTTCACTTCATATCATGTTTATTTTTCCTATGGATAAGTATATGATGATGGAGGTTTTGTCTGTGCACTTGTGTTTGTGAGTTGCATGTATTTCTCTCTTAAAGAATCTCTAGAAATAATTATTTAACAAACTGATTTTCTTTTTTTCTTCTCTACGAAGGTTTAACACCACTACCTATTTTGTTTAGGTCCATCAACCGGAGAATTCAATTCTAGTGGTGGATTAATGGGAAATCACGCTCAAGAAGGCAAGCAAAATTATCCAGCAACTATATTGGAAAGTATGCAAGGATAAAGTTCAATACTGAAGTTCTTTTTCTCTGCATATTTCTCCTTTTATTGCCTGTCTTTATGCATGTCCAATCTGTAATATTCTTTTGTCAACTTTGTTAGATTTGTCTTCTGGAGAATCACATTCTAATGGTAGCGCAATGGGCAGTCAGGCTAAAGAGAACCGGCAAAGTTATCCAGAAACAGCCCTGTCTAAAGGTATGCTTGGAGAAACTAAAGAATGGGAGTTTTTTTCTCTGCATATTTATCCTTTTATTGCCTGTCTTTATGCATGTCCAATCTGTAATATTCTTATGTCAACTTTGTTAGATTTGTCTGCTGGAGAATCACATTCTAATGGTAGCGCAATTGGCAATCAGGCTAAAGAGAACCGGCAAAGTTATCCAGAAACAACCCCGTCTAAAGGTATGCTTGGAGAAACTAAAGAATGGGAGTTTTTTCCTCTGGTTTGTGTGTTTTGTTTACGTTTGTGCATGTTTTCTCTTTTGGAAAATCTCTACAAAAATGACCATGTGATAGACTGATCTGTTATCTCAATATATTCTAGATCCACCGGCTCAAGGATCGTATTCTAATGGATTAATGGACAATCAGGCTCATGGAGACCAGCAATTTTATCCGGCAGCAACTTTATCAGAAGGTATATGCTATGAATTACACGATAACGACTGGTGTAGGTCTTGCCTATAACTTTTTAAGAAATAACAAATACATCTATATGAGTGTACAAGAAAATTTTTCTCCTATATCAACCGTACATGTTCCTAGGTTCATTTAGGGCCTGATTCTCAAGATTCACATTGTTCTTTTATTTCCAAACGAGGGTTTCACAATTTGTAATTCATCAGATGCACTGATGTAAACAATATCTATGTTCGCTTCAGTAAGTCATATCTATGATATGAAGACCAAATCAGTACTCACTGTCAATAGACAATGCTAGCTCACTGCCTGATACGATGCTAATTTTATGAAAAGAAAATCAAATGGGTCAAATGGTTGAGCACCCAAGGATCACCAAACCCAGATTGCTTTCACATCAGATGTATTTAATTTACTGCAATTAATTCCTTTTTGTCTTCAAATGTTATTAGTATTTTAATGATTACATCACATTAATATGCTTCGTAGAGATTAACTGTAATATATATCTCATAATAGGTCAGTTTATTTCTCCGCTTTCTTAACTTTTTGACGATACAGAGAATGGTACAAAAAAACCTGGTGCTGTTGTTAAACCTCCATATCATGAACAAACTTCACAACTCGCTGAAAACATTAGCAGTTACATCCCACCAGCTGCCGGTTATATTCCACCAGGTGTGCCTTGATACTTTCTATAAGTATAAAATAGTTTTTCCGATTTTCAACCATCATATGAATTAATGGTTGCTTTTACTTGTTCCAAAAACACAGGAAAGGTACATACATCTCCAATAGTCACTGGTGTAGGCAATCAAAATGTTCGTGGTCCTATGATACCTCCTGCTGATGAGACCCGTCTTGATTTGGGTGTGCAAGGAATAGAAAGGTCTAGAAGAGAAAATGAGTGGGATATTCTAAAAAGCATTGTGTACGGAGGCTTGATGGAATCTATTACAAGTCTAAGTGTAGTGTCATCTGCAGCAGGAGCTGGTTCTTCCACATGTAAGTATCGAAGTTTTTATATAGAATTAGAAGATCAACTATTTTTCTATTATTCTCCATGGACCTACAGAAAGTTTCCTGTCTACTATTTTTGTGTTGATGAGCCCAGAATATTGCTGTGTTTGTCATGTAACTTTTAATTATATTTTCTGCTTATATGTTATCCACTCTCTTCTGAAGTTGTATTATTTCTGCAGTGAATATCTGTGCCTTGGGGTTAGCAAATTTGATTGGTGGCTTGCTTTTGATCGCTCACGATGTAAGATACCATTCTCAAATCTAATGACTGTGTTATAGTGTAGATTACACCTTCAGTGAACGTGTTTTAGAGAATCACTACATCATTTGCCCAGATTTGATCCCATAAAGATGAGAATAGGCTACTGAATAGAAATAAGAAACTCAGCTGCAAAAATAAATAAAATACTAGCAAAAATTCCTGTCTTAAATAATCAAACTAAAACAGAATACTTGCAGTATAAAACATTGGAATTGCTTCAAACCAGGCTGGATATCATTCTCTTTAACTATATTTGAAATGATAACGTAACAATAAAATCGAAACCCTTATTCAGAAAACAAGGTCTTTGTCATATTAACACCCTCAAATCTTTTTCTAAAAAATTAGAACCCCATCCACCCCCCACCCCGAAAAAAAAAACTTCATATTTGGGGGTTTTAGTAAAATAAGTTAATAGATTTGGGGGTCTTTTTTAAAACAACTTTATATATTTGGGGTATTATCTAAAACAACCTTATATATTTGGAGTCTTATCTAAAACAGCTTTATATGTTTAGGGGTCTAATTTGAAAATATGAAGATTTTGAGGTCTGACATAGAATTAACAAAGATTTGGGGGTTCTAATATAACAAAAACCCTATAATGCGTAAACTGATGAAAAGTTTCGAATTGGCTCTAATAATTATGAGATTTGGATTAATTTTTTCCCCCGCTTTCTAGCTTTCTGAACTAAGAAGCGCAAGTGATGCTGAAGAAACCAACCAAAGTGATGAACAAATAGGTCGATACTGGGAGAAGCTCGGAAAGAGAGAACATTTTCGGCGACATGCAGTTTTCGCTATACTATCATACATTATCTTCGGATTACTTCCTCCAGTTATTTACGGCTTTGCATTCAGAAAGAGCGACAACAAAGAATACAAGCTCATAGCAGTTGCTGCTTCTTCTCTGTTATGTGTTGCTATGTTGGCAATTGGAAAAGCTCATGTCAGGCCACAGAAAGATTACATAAAATTGATATTATATTATCTTGCAATCGCTGTGCCCGCTTCAGGTTTATCCTATGTAGCTGGGGTGATGATCGATAGGCTCTTGGTTGAGCTTGGTTTGTTCATCCCAAATATGACCCCACCTTCGCCGCCTTCTTCAGTTGAGCTTCTCGGATTTGGATCGGGATCTTCATCGTGGGCATCCCTTTAAGGAATGCTGGAAATGAATTCCTCGAGCTTTTGAGGGGTATTGCATTGGTTATTGGTTGAATTGGCAAGCGCTTCTCGGATCTGGATCGGGATCTTCAACGTGGGCATCTCTTTAAGGAATGCTGGAAATGAATTCCTCGAGCTTTTGAGGGGTATTACATTGGTTATTGGTTGAATTGGCAAGAGCTTGAGGTTTTCCGCTTTAGTTTTGTTTGAAGAGGTTAGAGATGGACTGTTTAAGTGATTTGTTGCTTTAGTTAAGGCTCGTTTGAGATAGTTGTGTTTATTTTTGCTAGTCTTTACTATTGCTGGATGTTTTTTATGCAGTACATGTGTGGAGGTTGGAAATGGAAACCATGCTTTATTCTAGCTGGATAAATGAGTAGGTTCATTTACTCTTGCCTCTTTATTTCCATCCTTGTTTTTCCTCACCTCACCCCCCACGCATCCATTAATAGTATGAGGTCTAAAGACAACAATATGTGGAGATGGGATGTGCATTTTAGAAAACAGCTGACTGGGAATTTGGTCATGCAGTATCTCAATATGATGAGTCTTATCAATTCAATTACCTTTGGGCAACATGAAGATAAAAGAAAATGGATATGAGATGCTAAAAAGGATTTTTCGGTTAATTATTTTTATCAATTCCTTATTGATGGTGGAGTAAGCTATGATTGTGTAAACTTATGGGATCTTCCTGTTCCATTAAAAGTCAAGTTCTTAGTTTGGTTGGCTCTAAGAAATGACTTAAATACAAAAGATAATCTGGATAAAAAAATGAGTTTGTTTAGAGAAGACATGTTGTTTATGCGCTAAAATTGATGAAGATCATTCTCATCTGTTTCTCAACTGTGAGTTTGGATACTCTATTTGGAGATCAATTCACTTCATGTTGAATACATATAAAGATTTTAGAATAAACTCTTTAAAAGAGGTTTGGCTAAATTGGAGTATTGGAAATGATGGGGATTCTAATTTGAAGAGAAAGGTTTTCATTTGTTCTCTTCTCTGGTGTGTGTGGCAAGAGCTTAACGACAGATTATTTTCTAATAAGCAGAAGAGTTCTCTTGTCCTCTTGAACAAAATTGTGACTTTCTCAACATTTTGGTTAGGATCTAAAGGGACTTCTACTCGAGCTGCCAGACTGCAGGAAAGAAGAAGAAAAAGAGCTGCTGGAAAATCAAAAGTTGCTGGAGTTTCTGAGATTGTAGGCAGGGATGATGTGATCAAGGTGACTCGGTTGGAATGATGAGAGTTCACAGAGTTTTTTTGTGCTTTGTGTTTTTGTCTGGAAGAAAACTCTGTTAGATGTTTACCTTTTGGTTTTTTTGTTATTGGTGTTAAACATCTTACTCTTTTTAGGAGTTTATTCCCAGGTATATACAGGGGGTTATATGCTACTGCTTGTAGTAGTTTCTTTTGAACTTTAGTTCATACTTTTGGTTGAGAGTATGAACTATTTTTTGTAACAACCAATTATATTTTAATTTAGCTGGCTGAAATAACTTTACGGTGTTCCATCCTTTTTCTTAAAAAAAAATTGCTTGTCTGCGTTGAATTTCATGTATCTGTAACTTGTTAATTAAGTGCATGTTCAAATGTTTCATTTACTTGGTGATCCTTTGAGGAGCCATGGTTTTGTTCGTCTTTGTAGTCCTGTGTATTTTCGAGGATCTCTCTCTCTCTTCCTTTTTCTTTTTGGGATGTGCGTTCGTGTTAATGGGCCGAGCCTGAATGAACTTTGTTAAACTTGACCAAGTTTTATCGGTCGTGTGAAGGGCTTGGAGGATGAGAATAGAGCCAAGGCTCCAAAAGCAACACCCACATTAGCTCTGTGATAATTCCTTCAAATACACTAATTTTGAAATAGATACATAATAAAAAAAGGAGTTAACTTATTTTCGTAATTGTTGTCAAGATTAACGTTAAAACAAAGCTTTAACAAAAAAGCTAGACCATGTTTAAGGCATGCCTTTTCCTTTTCCTGTTTTACCATTTCTCATGACACATAACTTTGTTGAACATGATAATTGTTCAATCAAGAATAAGAGTGTATAGATAATGTAATCAAATTCAAAAATGATACTAACTGGTAGAAGTTATACCTATTGCGTGTGAGACGGACTGTTAGGATGCTCCAATATGACTTCCATGATCTTGAATTCGATTTGGACTGGATTATCACCGAAAAAAGGAAAAAGAAAATCTAGTAGGAGTTATTAATCATGTTACTTTTACTTTTAAAAAAATAAAAATCTTAACAAAACAAATCAACGCATTGTCAACAACTGTCTTCTTCTTTCTTTCTTTCTTTCTTTCTTTTTCGCTCCCTCTAAATTTGTAGGCGTGCACTCCCACTCTCTTCATGTTTCCATCAAAAGAAGCCCATAAATCAATATTATGGATCCACCATTGACAAGGGATTGATCTCAATTGTCTGCCTAACCTTCAATTATCAGTCCTAATCCTCTTGCAACTCTTTCAAGAGACTCTAGAAAAAGTCCACTGATGAACAAATTTAGATAACTACATTTCATTAACTATTAATTTGGACATGTTATCTGACCAAGTTACACTTGGACACTAGTGACTCATCCGGGCCAACTTCCTTACATCATTATCATTTATCAGATCAAATAAATAGTGCAGGCTTGCATAAGTTTTACCTAATTCCATGATCAATATGGATTAACTTTGTCCTCACTAAATTAAATGGATGCTTAACTTAAAATCAAAGGTGATGTAGCCTCTGGTGCTTTGTAAAGCAACAGTCATCTAGATAGAGATTGGTTAGTGGAAGACATGGTTCTTGCTTTCTTTATGCTAATTTTGAACATGTTTGATATCAAAACTATTAATGATGGCTTACAAATAGAATAAGACAAGATTAGTTTTATGGACAATTGCATAATGATGTTGTGGAGGTGTTAATTAACATGGTGGATGCCGATACCACACTTTCCAGCTAGTTAATATATATGTACTCTAAAGCAATGCAATAATATGAAATAAGTGTATCTCTTGTTAATCATAATAGTTTAATAATATGAGGACAGTTATAATTAGGGGTGTTAACGGAGCGGATACGGCTCGGATATGACACTTACCATATCCATATCCGCTTACCCATCTCGAATACGGATACGGATACGGATATACGTCGGTAAGAAAAATTCATATCCATATCCGCCAAAATCGGATACGGTTACAGATATAGATGCGGATATATAAACGGATATGCATGCGGATACAAAAAGGATATGAGAAAACTAGATAGTATTTAGAAAAATATAGTCATGTGATACAAAAAAAGGATATGAGAAAACTAGATAGTATTTAGAAAAATATAGTCATGTGATACAAAAAGAGTTCGTTAATAAGTTCGTTATGATTGAAAAGCTAAGATTAGACATCTTGATCATCAAAATTAACCATAAATTCATAATCTAAGAATCGAAACTATCGTAAGAGTATTACCAATATGTATTCGGATATTTTCGGATACGGATACGGATATTTCACTACAAAACCATATCCGCAACCATATCCTATCGGTAATATATTTGAGTAACCATATTCGTATCCTAACGGATACGGTTACGGATATTTCCTCGGATACGGATACGGTTTGGCACCCCTAGTTATAATTCATTTTTGATATAACTAACACTACATGTAACTCATGAAATACACTTAGAGCATCTCCAACAGCTTCCCCATTTCTTACTTTTGGAGAATTTAGTTAGGTTTTTGGCCCAACAGATTCCCCATCTCATTCCCCAAAATAGGGATGGAGGAGAAAAAATGGGGAAGCTTCCCCAAATCTGCAGCATTCTCCAAAATTTTGGAGAAAAAAATAGATTCTTCAAAATGGGGAAGCTGTTGGAGTTGGTGTAAAAATTAGTTGGAGAATATGACTTTTGCTTTCCCATTTTGGAGAAAATTTTGGAGAAGCTGTTGGAGATGCTCTTAGGGGATGTTTGTTTGCATAAGGGGGAAGGGGAAAGCCTGCAAAAAGTGTCAGTTTTGACAGGCTTTCTTACAAAAACGCCTATTTTAGAGACGTTTTTGCAAGAAAGTCTATCAAAACTGACACTTTTGGCAGGCAGGCTTTCATCCCATTTCCCCCTCTAAAAGAAGCAACCAAATGCACCCTTATTTTTCACTTTTCACTCAAATTTAATCATGATTATCCATTAATTATTACAAATGTGATTGAGAACGTCTTTACTATCCAATTGTCGTTAAAAGAATCCGGATCCTTTTTTAAGACTCTTTGTTTACATTATTATGCTAGAATGAGTTTAATTAAACAGCTGTAATTTATCTATTTTATTCTCTTCAAGTGAAAGTTATAGCTTAGACTTGAATGTATTACTTCCAATTCATAAAGATTAGAGGGAAAAGAGTTTTAAAAAAAAGTATAAATCAATTCCATAGTTCAAATTCAAAAACAATGATGAGTTGAATCCGACTTGTTTGCGAGTAGACGTATAATGCTCTTGTCCTTTTGCATTTAAACCATTCGCCCATTATATTAAGTATATTCTTTAAAGTTGATCCTTTGTGGTCACATTTTATAAGAAAAGTTTGCCACTAGACAAAAGTAAGTCTCATAATTTCTTTTGAGTAAAATAATGATCATAATTTAATATATTAAAACTCTAATTTGATTATGTTTGCCCCCACAAGTATGGAGAATTTGACCATGCTTGCTATCATTCCGTCCACGTGACTGCCCATGTGACAAACAGGTGTCTATCTTTATAGATCATCATGATAATTTTAATAATCACTGATTATTTCATAGAAAATTCATTTAATAGGTTTTATACAAGTTGATCATCCTACCAATAGTTGTTCATGTTGTAACCTTAACAAACATTGACTAACAAAGTAATAATCTTATGAATGCA